AAAAGTTTTTAAAAGTTTTTAAAAGTTTTTAAAAGTTTTTAAAAGTTTTTAAAAGTTTTTAAAGTTTTAAAAAGTAAAGTAAAAAAAAGAAATAACAATATACATTCATGTTAGTCTAGAATTAAGAAATTGTTAATGGCTGCCTATACAGGTAGTCCTTGACTTATGACCCACAACTGAGCCCAAAATTTCTGTCGCTGAGGAAGACAGTTGTTAAGGGAGTTTTGTCCTATTTCATGACCTTTCTTGCCACAGTTGTTAAGTGACTGCGCTTTCATAAATACATGCCGGTTGCCAAGCGTCCTAATTTGGATCATGTGAGCATGGAGATGCTGCAGCGGGTGTTAAGTGTGAAAAAATGGCCATAAGTCACTCTTTTCAGAGCTCTTATAACTTTAAAAAGTCACGAAAAGAACAGTTATAAGTCAAGTACTACCTAATTTCCAAATACAACATAACTTGAAGAAATAATAAAATGGATACCATATCATTTTAGGCAGAAAGTCTTCTATGTGGAAGGAGAAAATATTGGCTGCATTCGCACACTCTAAATTAAGGTTAATGTTAACTTTGGCTAGTTTTTTCATAGCTAAACATCTTGTGTATGCCTAGCCAACCTGGGTAGTCTAGAAGAGTTATGTTAGTCTATTAACAGTTCCAAATCGGGGGTCTGGTGCACCTTTCTTATTTGTCCGTTTTATTAAAAGGCATAAACTTTTGTGAGTTGCAATTGGCTAGCCAATAAAACAGTAGTTATTTCATAGTTCACAATGTTATCCAAATAGCGATGATTGGGTTAAAGCAACATTAACATGAATTATTCATAGAATATTTCCTCAATGCAACCAGCAGTTGTTTGCTTGGTTGGTTTTTCATTTATTCTTAGTTCTTTCAGGTAATTGACCAATTGCTTAAACATTTTAAAAAAAATTGTTTGTGCTACCGCTAGGTGATGCTAAATAAGTCCAAATTTTTACTAGCTATGTTTGGCTTAGAGAGAGAGAAAAAAAGAGAAAGAGAAAGAGAAAGACAGAGAGAGAGAGAGAGAGATTACTCTTTTCAGCCTTAACAGATTAACAGAGTTGGAAGGGACCTTTTGGGTCATCTACTCCAACCCCTACCCAAGCACAACGAAAGCTTTCCAAAAATCAGAGCAAACAATTTTCAGCTTCAAAACCTTTCAGTGGGGCAAGATGTTGAGAAGATAAGGGCGGTAAATGTGGGAATTTGGAACCACCAGAGTGTCTCCAGGCATGCAAATTAAGCCTTATCAAGGCAGAGCCAAGGTTCATTCAGGACTCTCCCACAATTGCAAAGAAGAAACAAATACAAGTTCTTTTTTAGGTTCTCCATTTTTGGAAACACGTTCTCCCTTTTCGAGTCATCACTATTTTCAGGCATTTCCAGATGATTAGTATTTTCCTGCTGCAATTCTCTCCAGGTTGCTCTTGGGAATTGGCTTTGGGATGAGTTCTGCAGTGTGTTGCTCCGGATCCTGATTTTTAACCTCGGGACTCAGATATGCATCTGAGCATGAGCCGAGCAATCGAGAAGAATTTGGGTGCAATATTTCCAGATGGTTGTTCTTTTTCATCCAAGAAGCTCCAACCAACTGCTGCGTGTTTCAGTGAAGGGCAGCTGAATGCACCATCCATATTCAGAACAGTGTCGGTGTCCCCCCGCCCCCATTACTTGTGGGCTTTCACAAGGATTTTAGTTGGGGATAAAAGTTACAGAACAAGCTGAACTCTTGGGATTGGCTGGTTGGCTTGCTAAGAATTATTACTATGATTGTAATATGAGTACTAGGCCCATTGAACCAACTTTTTATTTTATATTAGGTCTATACCTGTGCTTCACTACGAAACTATGTGGTCGGGCTTAGTTTTTTTGGGAGGAAAATAAGGGGAAAAAATTGTGCCTCTGCCGACCAGCATCCATCGGTATTCATCTGGCTAGCATCCTGTCAGTGAGTGAGAGAGTTGAGGGCTGTTTGGAAACTGAAACAGTCTGTGAGCAAGGAGCCTGGATGTGTCTTAGCTCAACTGTTCTGTAACTGCTGGCTGCTGTGAAACTGAAACTGAAACTCCTCTCCTCTGCTTGTGTTTTGCATTTGGAAGAGATTTCTTTTCAGGTGGGGAGGGGGAGTAGAGCTCCTTAGCATCAGAGTGTGTTAATAATAACATACAAAATACTAATGCTCTGATGGTCATTTTCAAAAATCCTTTCTTAGTGAGCACTTAAAAGCCAAGAGGAACATACGTGCCAAATTTCAAGTTTATAGACTTTACAGTTCTGGAGATTTTGTGATGATGAGTGAGTGGTATTTCACCTTTATATATATATATGTGTGTGTGTGTGTGTGTGTGTGTGTGTGTGTGTGTGTGTATGTATATGTATATGTATATGTATATGTATATGTATATGTATATGTATATGTATATGTATATGTATGGTATTCAGCTTTGTTCGGGTATTTTCCCACGTCATTATAG